ACCTGAGCCTGCCTCAGCTCAGGGGCCAAGGGGCTGCTGGGGGCAGAGGAAGGAGCACGTGAGTAGCATGTTTTCTCCTTAGATTGGGGGCATGAGGCTCAATTTATTTTCTCATTTGTCCAATGGAGACAATAATAGCTGACCTGCCTTTTTCAGAGTTGGTTTGAGTTTAAAAGAAATCAATACATATGGGACTCCAAGAAAAAAAAAATCAACATCTATAACAGTGATGGCGAACCTATGACACGCACGTCAGAGGTGACACGCGAACTCATTTTTTTGGTTGATTTTTCTTTGTTAAATGGCATTTAAATATATAAAATAAATACCAAAAACATAAGTCTTTGTTTTACTATGGTTGCAAATATCAAAAAATTTCTATATGTGACACAGCACCAGAGTTAAGTTAGGGTTTTTCAAAATGCTGACACACCGAGCTCAAAAGGTTCGCCATCACTGATCTATAATAATAAAAGCATAATATGCAAATCGACCAAACGGCCGAACAGCAGAACCAACTTCTGGACAAAGCCAAGGCTGGGGGGCCGGCAGAGGTGGCCGGGGCTACAAGGGAGGTGGCTGGGGCTATGAAGCAGCAGCTGAGGTGGCTGGGGCTGCGAAGGCCTACCCTTGCATGAAATTTGTGCATTGGGCCTCTAGTTCTAAATGTAAGATATTAGGCTAAGCTGCGTTGCCCCCTTACACTGACAGGTAAGACAAAGACCTGCAGCTTCCTCCCACACCCCAGCGGAGAGCAGCAGAGCTGCCTCCGGAGGGTCCCTTTCTGGGATGTGTTTGCAGCCTTCTTTCTGATGCTGTCAGAAGTTGTCTTGCTTTCAGAAAAGGACGAGAGAAGAGCTTTGGGAGTTTGGACGTCTGAAGCCTTCCACTCGGTCCCCAATGCTGGCAGCCCTCCTACGAAGTGAAAAACGTTTTAAAAAGCCCAGATGCTTTTGTCAGTCTTTTCTACCTCTGAAACAGAGGGTGTGACTCACATGCATCTGACATCAATGTACCAGGTTGTGATGATTTGCCTCATTGTGCTCAGCTGAAGAGCGGATTAACTCCCCATAATACTCTGAGAATGTAACGCATGGCCTGTGATTGAAACAGAAGGTGGGGGTGGTTGCTTTGTGGCAAAGCAATGGACTGACTCAAGGTTCTGAGTTTCTAATCCCAAATCTGTAACCTTGTATGTGACCCTGGGAGGCTTGCTCGAGGCCTGCAATGGATGCTTACTTTGTGGGTGCTGATCACTCGTTCCTTTTTTAACTATTTATTTATTTATTTACTTATTTATTTATTTAATCCTCACCCAGAGGATATTTTTCCATTGATTTTTAGAGAGCCTGGGAGGGTGGGAGAGAGACAGACAGAGAGAAACATCGATGTGAGAAAGACACATTGATTGGTTGTCTCCCGCACACACAGATGGAGCCTACAACCGAGGTACGTGCCCTTGACCGGAATCAAACCCAGGACCCATCAGTCCACGGGCCGATCCTCTACCCACTGAGCCAAATGGGCCAGGGCTGATCATTCATTCTTAAAAGTATTGTAGTAAGTCCTTCCTCTGAGAACAGTGTGGGTGGTAACTAGTGGCCAATATTACTCAAGACAGAGCCACCAGTAAAGACTGCCAAGTGCACACGAGGCCTCAGGGAGTACTCAGACTATTACCTAGAGATGCTAGGAAAATGCAAATGCCTCAGTTTCCAGAAAATTTGTCTGTTGCTTTTCCCTTCCAAGTCGGCCGTCTACCCTGCCCAGCATGCCCCACAGACTTCCTGCGATGATGGGAATTTTTCTATTACTCTGTCCAGAGGCGGCTACCACTTGTGGCCGTTGAGCATTTGAAATAGGAACTAAATTTCACACCTGATATAATTTAATTCATTAAAATGTCTATGTAAACAGCCATGTGCGGCTAGTGGCCACCATATTGGACAGCACAGCTCTAGCCAATTCAAACCCCTCAAAGCAACTGCATGCAAGTGAGGCTGGGGAAGCAGTAGCACATACATGAACTCATTAGTCAGTCTTTATGTTCAAAACAATTTTTTTTTCACGTTGGAAGAAGTGGCCTCTATCAAGGTCTGAAGTGAGAGATTACCAGAAAATAAGAACAGGTTTCACTAATCCTCCAGTACTATTTCCGTCCATATTTTATGAATATTAAACTGAGATGGTATCTAAACTCATTAACACAAAGCTAAACTAGATGACTTTATCCTATAAAACAACTTTTCTACCCAAGGCTGAGAAATAACCAGGGAGAAACATTAGCCTCACTCTGCACCCTTCTCCCATCGCCTCTGAGGAGGCCGACAGGTAGGAGCCCAAGGACATAGCTCTTCTGCTGCTGCCCATCCCCACCCCCCTTACCTCTGCGGCTCAATCTCACTCCCCTCCCCCCACTAGACACGTCAACTGATAACCAACCACTCAAAATCACAGGCTGAGTGCTGTCTCCCGTTCTCTCCAGACATACGGTGTCTTTTCTTCTTTGCCCCTTTCATGTAAATTCTGTGGCAGGAAACTCCGCAGAATATAGTACGAGAAGCCCTGAGATCTTAACCTCCCTGCCTTCCTGAAACATTCCCACGGCCCCAAGAGGGGTTTGAACAAACACTGGCTGCTTTCCCGAATCTATGTCCTCACCTTGGAGGTGAACTGATTCAAACTCTACATGGTATAAAGGAGTTATTCTCCCTGCACTTCGCTTGTGACTGCCCTGTGTTTTGTATCTTTTTCTTTTGAACAGAGCAGATCTCAGGTATTCTAAGCTCCAATCATGGGACAGGGGTTCAGTCCCTGCCATTCTCCGTGTGCATTGCCCAGCACAGCGTCACAATCAGGGACTTCAACGCTTCTTGATAAAGCATAAAAGACTCTCAGGCTCTATGGGATTTTTACAGCTTTGGGATTTTAAGGTACATCTTTCAGTTCAACATATTCTAGGAAACAATGTACTACTTGTTGAGGGCCGTGGACTGGGCTTGGTTCTTTCAGGGAAGGACTGCAGAATCAGTCATGTATTTTTCAGGTTGATGTCATGATTATCTGAAGGTTAATAATCAGCCAGCAGCTGCATGAGTGACATGGGAGGAAGAAAGCATGATAAATAAATACTTTGCTGGTCGCCGCTTTCTCAACAGTGAAATGGAAAGAGAATAAAAATCTTTGTGCGTGAAATAGTCTTAGTGTCCTGCTAAAGACCAGTGCACTATGACTACCAGGCCCGTGTGAGGCACTCTGCCGTGTATTAGATTGGGAGCGAGGTGACATAACAACTTATCACAGCCGCGCTTCCTCCAGGCTCCACTGTGTCCTAGTGCTTCTCCTTGCACGCATGCTTCCTAAGGAGGTTAATTTGAAATAGAAAACCATTCATTCTGCTTCCGACTTCATCCCTGACTGAAAAATTAAAGTGTAAATAAACAGAAATTTAATTAAAATTAAGGTCCAAGTAACAACAAAAATGCTCCCTCTTTTCCTGGTTAAAAAGCAAAGCGGGCTGTTTGGATCAGCTGTATCAGCATCGCTGCCTGGGAACTTGTTAGAAATGTAAATTATGGGCCACACCCCAGGCCCATTGGAGCAGAAACTTTGAGGGGTGGAGCAAATGTATTATAAAAAAAATCCTCCATGTGATTCTGCACTAACAGTTGAGAACATTTGCTTTAAACAGTGTTGAAATCATCAAAACTATTCTTTTCAGTGTTGTAATAAAGCGCACTAAATGAGTGTTCCTGGTGTCAAGCCTTTCCCAATTTTAGAAATAAGGTCTGGCCAAGCACTAAACAAGTCCGGCCAGGAATCCCAGCTCTGAGTTCCAGCACATCTGCATGCCGTGCTACCTGGGACGTGATCACCTCCCCGGACGCTCCTGGCACCGGCTGGGCAGGCGCTTTCGAGATGAGCCACTATGGCTCCTCTGCTTCTTGGTGGGAGATGAGGGGCTCAAAGGGGGGGGGGGGACACAGAGGGGAAATCTATGACTTTTCCATCCATTTTAATCATTCCTTTTTTTGAAGGGAGAAAATATTTAGTACTTTTACATCACTATTTCACAAATAACAACCAAGAGAAAGACAGTGCTTATAAAATTTTTTAAAAATAGGGCATCTTTGTAGATAACTGCTTGTCAGCTGCACTAGGGTGTGCATCCTTCACAGTGATTACGGGTGATGACGGAGGACAGCGTTTAGGTCAGCTGTGGGCAAACTACGGCCCGCGGGCCGGATCCGGCCAGTTTGAAATGAATAAAACTAAAAAAAAAAAGACCGTACCCTTTTATGTAATGATGTTTACTTTGAATTTATATTAGTTCACACAAACACTCCATCCATGCTTTTGTTCCGGCCCTCCGGTCCAGTTTAAGAACCCATTGTGGCCCTCGAGTCAAAAAGTTTGCCCACCCCTGGTTTAGGTAATTCACTGCCAACGTGAGTCTGTATGCTTCTCAGACCTCTGACCCCCAATTGCAATGCTTATTAATCAGTATCTTCCAGTCACAGAGATGCCAGCTTTACCCGATCCCTTCCTATTCCTTTGTAAGTACCATTCAGATTGGACAGGGAATTATTAAGACTTTCTGTCCAAATGATTCAAAGACTTTCACATTTCTTTTTGATAACAGAGTCTGCTCATGGAACCTAGGTTTTGAGTGCCCCAAGAACACAAGGACAAAAAGTCAGAGCACCAGACGCACAACAGCATTGTATAATTTTTTTTTTTTTTTGTCACGAGAAAAACCTCCGTCCGAAGAAACATACAAACTCTCCTCGGTAACTTTTCTCACTTTAAATCACACCTCTCATCACGACCTAATACACCCACACAGTCATGTGCCACAGGCACTGCGCACCCTCTCCAACATTTCAAAGGCTCAAAAGCTATTTTTAAAGCCAAAATGCAATCTAGGTTGCTATTCTATGAAGCACTTGTTAAGGAAGAACAAAGTAAGAGAGTGATGTTTATACATGTGGGCAACTCACCAAAGGATTGAATGCAGCTATCGATGAGATCGTCCAGGCTGGCTCCTTTGGCCAAATGTCCCAGAGACACCATCATTCGGAACTGGGTGATCTGGGCCAGGCTGGGATGGGAGGGGAAGGGGCTGCTGGCTGGCTTCGCCTCTAGTTTTGCTTTAGGGGCAGCTCTGCAGCCATGAGAAGGTTTCCTGGGGAAAGAGAGGAGGCAGTGAGTGCAAGCGGAGCGGCCAGGGGGCGAACACAGGGGCAGCTCCACGCTCTGAAGGCAGATTAGAGAGGAAGGACTAGAGATAAGACAATTAATCCTGGGAGTTGGGCTGATAGAAGATACACCCCTCCCACTTGGCAGATGCACCAAACGGACTGGTTGGCTGTTAAAGAAACATCTCCCAAGCAAATAACAAGGTGAGATTTCAGGGCTGCATCTAGGGCTGGTCCTCTGGGGGTTAGGATTGCTTTGCCCTGTTGTCTCCATTGCCTGAGGGGAGAGGCAGAGGCAGGGCTACCTTGGCAGTTCTCGGGTCCTAGCAATACTTTTTCATTTCAGCCTCGAGGCCACTGACTTGGGTCTTAAGAATTGAGTTTCAGGTGGTCTCATCTTTGGCTAAATTCATTCATCTTGAACAACACCTGAGACGCTGCAGAAACCCAGGTAGCCTCGGAAACATCTTTAAGGACTTTGGGGAGGAAAGTCAAAGACTGAGGACCCGTGTGCAGGAAGTGAGGAGGGGTGAGGGGTGAGGGTGGTGATATTTAGATTTTAAGCTAGTCCTGCCTTTCTCACAAATCTTGGTGGGTTTTAAGATTCTGTCTTTCATGATAGATAATACAGGTAATCATTATGAGTCATTTTTATCATTAAACACCATTCCATTAAGTCTGTACTTGGGTCCTTACCTATTGGGGAGGGGGGAGAGAGGGGGGTGTGGAGGAGCAGAGCTCATGAGAGCTTCATTCCAGAACTGAATCCAAAAGAAAACACTTGGATATGGAAAGGCTTAGGAGTGCCTATAGGTCACCTCTGCCCACTCTCACAGAGCTTTACCTTTGATCATGACCTCTCAGTATAAGTCACGTTGTTTGCAAAATGATACATGAAGGTTAATTAAGCATTTCGTTTTCCCTTCCATTAAAAAACATAAACACACACAGGCACATTTCCATCATCTCTGAAGGTTCACTAGTGATGGGTGTTGTTACTTGTAACTTCTTTGAGCATATCGTTAACTCTTCTCTCCCCACTGTGCCTGCTTATTTCACAGTTTACAAAGAGGAGGCAAGAAAAAAAAGGAAAGAGAAATATACCTCAGATCCATAACTTTAGCGACTCCCCATGTGTTTTGCTGAACCCATGAGGCACCCATTAATCAGTGAGTGCTTTTTCCATGGGTAAGACATCGCGATGGGCCGGGGAAGGCCAGTAGGACAGTCTCTGCGATGGCACTCTGTAAACTGTACATCATACTAACTACATGTTAGCTGATGTTGTAGGAAGGTCATCTATCTGTAAGTTCTTCAATACAAAACTCTAGTTGGAGAATCAGACCCAGACCAAGGAAAGATAGCTCTATCAATCCTAAGTGTCCTGTGAGTGGCAAGGGGAAGGGCTGTGCTGTCCTCAGAGAAGGGAGAACCAGTTGCAGCTGGAGTGTTGGAGAAAAGTTTCTCTGACAGGAAATCTCACCCAGAAGGGGCTAAAAAAGTGCTGAAATCAAAATAAGACACTGGGGCATACACAGAATTTGGAAAACCAGCCTGTGAAATGAGGTTACTGAACGATGGGGCCACTCAGTGCACAGCCAGACCTGTGGAGGGAACACCCTGCATTTCAAAATCCCTCCAGGGTGCTGGGCCGGCAGTGGCTGCTGAGCTCTGTTCTGACCGAGGGTGGTCCCAGTGAAACTGAACCAGTCATTGGCTATTAGGAATCTACTAACCAGAGGCAGGGATTTCTGAAAGATGGTGTTACAGGACTTCTGGCCATTACTGATTTTTACCCAGGGCCTAAGATAGCGCCAGGAGCAGATCAGTACCTGAAAATGAGAGGAAATAATAGTGGCCACCATGAATTGAGAACCTATGACATGGCAGGCACTGTGCCGGGGATCTGCATGGTTTTTAAAGCTTACGTCCCAGAGAGACATGATCTCCATTCCATGATGTTGAAACTGCATCTAAGAGAGGCTAAATGACTTGGTCAAGTACAACTCCCATGTGCTAGATCTGGGATTTGTACTGGGCGCCTCTCTGGCTCTATTTGCTTAATCAAGAGTTACTGTGCCTGGAACTATGCACTTTTCACTCCATCAGAATAAGCATGAGAGGCTGAAAGGTCAATTCAACCTAAGACAAAAGTAACGTCCTCTGAAATCATAGCTGCTAATATAAAGGCTGAATCAGGGGCCCTCCTCCTTCTGCCTGTCGCCGGAACTGTTCTCAGAGCAGAGGCTGCGTGGGCTCTCCATGGACATCCTCCAAGCCCTTCACTAGATGGGTGTGGGTCCAGGATCAGAAGGGCAACGGGACCAGCCACCAGTGCAGAGACAGGCAGAAGCCAGGCCTCCTGTGCCCATGCCTTGCTCCCCACCTGGGCACCTTCCCCTTCCAGGAGGCACTGACAATCTCTAAACCTGGGGCTGGTTGTCAGCTGTTGGGATTAGTCAGCTTTCTGCCTGAGCGGCTGCCTTTTTACCATTAAGATCTCCACCCAAGGCAGAGTTGAGAAAGAGAACAATACAGTCCTTCTCAGTACAGCCTCTTTTTCTCTTAGGCCTTCCAGTACCTCTCCCTGACCCCTGGAGAAGAGGCACCTGCAACCAGAGGCTGGGCCTCCACACATAGCTCTTCCCTCAGGCCCGGAGGTGTCTCCCTCAGTCTCTCAGCTGGCGGATACAGGAAAATCCCACTTTCTCTCTCAGTTGGTAGCAGTGATCATTGAGGACCCTGAAAACTGCCCTGGTTCTAATTCTAGTGATGGTTCCTCATGTCAGCAGTAACAGAAACCACTTTGGTTCACAAGGTGAGATGCTTTTACCGGAACTAAAAAGGACTGGGGTAGATTCAAGTAGAAAGAAAAAGCTTGAAGTATTGGTGTGTGTACGTGTGAAAAATGCAACCTGGGAACTATGGAGCCCAGAGAGACTCGAGCGCTGGGGCATGAGAAACTGGGGAGGAGAGGAACTACTAAAAACCAAATTGTGACCTGAGAGGTCTAGGGAGATGGGGGTTATCTGAACCATGACCTGGGGGAACTCAGCTCTTCTGTGCAGCTTCTTGACTGGCTGCTTTGTGACAAACCTTTCAAAACTGCCTCTTCGGGTGAAATGGCTGTCCATAGGATTAATAAAAGACTTCTCTACAGTCAGGTCTTGAAGGTGTTGTAATCCATAGAATAAATAGACCCTAATCTTCAAAGGCATATCTTTAAAGGACAGTAGCCATTTCCTTGTGAATTAAAAAGAACACAAAACACAAAACAAACAAAAAAATCCCCGAGAGAAACAAATTAACTTAAGGTGGTTTCTGAGGCCCAAATTGGCTAAGGCCCTATTAAGTTTGCTGAAAGACACTGTCAAAACTCAGAACTGGTTCAAATGAAATCCTCTCCAGGCACAGGTTTCCTCAGTGGAGGTCACTTTTGATGGAAACTTCCACGGCTTTCTTTGCAGTGCAAGGTGGCTTTTATTGGCTTCTAGTGAGGATTCCTTCCAGTCCTGTTCAGAATGGCTCCCCCAAAATGGCTCAATTTAAAGTACTGAGGCCCTTCCCCTCAATCTGGTGCAGGGTACAGTGTCGGACCCCCGGTGATACAGGGCGGGGTGCATACAGGGGCGAGGATCTTTAGCTCTAGAAAGTCCAGCAGGGCAAAGCTTCCTGCGTCCTCTGGGCCTGGCGCGGGCACACAGAGTCCATGTGGATGGAGGTGGGAAGTGCACAGTCCCCTGTCTAGGCAGCTGTCCCATTCCAGCCTTTTGGGGGACAAACTCAAAGTTGCCTGGCACTTCCAGGCCTCTTTCTCCTGATAAGAGCTTTTTCACTCACTGTCACTCTTCATATTCTGCACCCCAAGACCCTCCTAAAACATCTCTCTAGAGTCACAGTGGGGTGGAAGGGAATACAGGTTTCCCCCCAGGGGCTATGGTCCCCTGACCTCTGCTTGTTCGCTGCAAGCCCTGCTGGCCTTTCTGGGTCCTCCCGAGACCTGCAGGGCCGGCAGAGACCGCCAGGTGGCGTTCCCGGAGCCCGGAGCTCGGAGCCCCGGCAGGTGCGGCCGTCCGGGAAAGTCCACGAGTGGGAGTCCCAGGTGCGTGGCAGCGAGGAGCTGGGGGAGGAGGCCGGTCATTGCAATCCCGGAGCTTGCCGGGCGAACTCTGGCCGCACAACCCAGCTCCCTTCCCCATTTCCCGGTGCGACGGGCTGGGCACTCCAGGCGCAACCGTCCCTTGCGCTGATCTCCGCAGCGCGCATCTCCCCCGACATCAGCCGAGACCTGAGCCTGCCGTCCCCATTAGTCGCCGGCAACTTCCCCTAGAGAAGACTCCCGTGTCGTCCGCCCCACATTCTACCCCCGAGAGCCTCAGGAGGCTGCCCGCACCCCGGCCCCCGCCCCGATGAAGGACGTTGGC